CTAGTAAAAATTTCACCTCTAGAGCTCCATTCGTCAAAAAGCCGCAAAGTTGTTATTAGATAATGGTGAAATGTTTCCTATCTCGAGATATTGTGAGTAAAAACGTCCACAAAGGCAACAGTCACAAATTTTTCAATCGAAGCGACAAAAATTTAGGAACAACCTGATATATTCAAATGAGAAAGTCCAGAGTCAGGAAATGAATTTATAGGCAGCTCGTGCGACGTTCACAAAGATCAATTATTCAACCATCAATACCTTATTGCTGACTGTCGAAAATTTTCGATTCTAGCTTCTTGTGAGATGATTTTTGAAATTGTTTTGTGAGATGATTTCTTAAGGTGTGTAGTCATTTCAAACATACCTTTGACAATCCCAACCATACAGCAAAGAAGTCTATGCCGTTTTCCATAAATATAGATACAACATCGCCTTTCTTGTATCCCAAACTCTGAAACAAATTTGACCTTTGCTCGATATCTCTGCACACCCCTAAACAATTTCTTTTACAGGCCACCCTGTTCATAAACTGCCACGCGGCCACCGTATCATATCTTATCTACTACCAAGTCAATAACTTCGGTCAAAGTACAATAAGTAGATGAAAAACCATTACACCTGTGAAAGACACATGAAAAGATGACTCACATCGAAGTAATTAGCATACTTATTCAAGATTCTGTTCAGTTCATCAAAAGTGACCTGTCGACCCGTTTCGATTTCAACGCACGCAACCTTTTGCGGATGTTTCCGTACCTGAATAAGTCCTCGTTGAAAGCTATGAGGGTGACCGCAGTAATTTACTCAATTCATACCTGTTCTAGAAATACTTCGTGAAGTGGACGATTTGCCTTCAATCGCCGTCTACAGTCTAGTTTTACCCGTATTAACAGAGCAAGTCCCCTGAAAAGTTGAGCAATTGTGAAAGAAGTTGAAAAATACAAAAACTGAGTAGTAAAACATAAACTGCCAGGATTCTAATACCTAGTCAACAATGGCGTACAATGGCGTTTTTTCGGAGGAAGGGGGCGAAAAAATTTTTGGATGGAGGTGCGCGCACTTCGAAATATTTTTTGGAGTGCTTCCCAAATTTTTTGCGTTCCCGGGACGCCCCCAAAAAAATTTTTACAAGCTAAATTGAATTTTCGAAAAATTTCAAAAATTATTTCAGTTATTCACAAGTTCAAAGAAGTCATTTGCACATTTTTATAA